GCCAAAAAAATGTTACCAAAGAATATGACATTTTCGCATTTTCCAAAAAAATGGCATTACAGAAATTTTTTATATTTTGCTAATTGTTAGCTTTTCGTCCAAGTAAAATAATGCACGAAAAAAAATTGGGGGTCACCATGCTTTTTTTTTCGTACACGTATGTCGTCATAGCAACGAACTATCTGTTACTAAAACTAATATAATTTGAAAGTAGAGTTATCAAAATATATAAAAAACCCAATATCTGCTGAACATGTCAAAGTGTTAAACACCTGAATTTTTGAAAACTGTATCGAGCCACCTTAATAGATAGAAAATTTGTTGGGTTTGTAATTACTGTACAACATTTCAGACAATTTGCTTTAGTTTAAGCCCTTTAACTATTTGCGCAAACTTACATTTTTTCCTAAAAATCAGCTATTTGCATGCTTAATTAATGCCTTTGCCTAATTTGCATATGTCAGCAATATGTAAATTAGGTAAAGGCATTAATTAAGCATGCGAAAGGCTAAAGGGATTTTAAGCCCTTTAAACTAAAGCAAATTGTCTGAAATTTTGTACAGCAATTAAAAACCCAACAAATTTTCCATCTATTAACTCATAATATGATTAAAGCTTTTAGATTTCGTGCGCGAGCCATTGGAAAAGACACACCCCCCTGGTTCACAAAATTTGAGTTCGAGAAATTTTTTTCATTATTCTACATTATAAGTACCCAAAGAAGCTATATACATAAAAAACTGGATACTAGTAGCTGTTTTGCGAAATTGAGAGCAATTTCAAATCTGTTAATTACACCCCTGTATTGCCTGCAAAAATACTTAGTATTTTTTTGTTCGTAGCATGAGCTCTTCAAGTAAGCTGCAGAAATTCTTGGTTAAGAGAAAGGACACTGGTAAGGTGAGTCGAATAGAAATAGAAGAAGACAAGCAGATTTTCGACTTACTAGAGTTAAGCAGAGTGTCACTAAAGTTTGACGAAGATGCAATGCTATGTATGTACCGCGATGGAGAAGAGAAAATTCTCACTGAGGCAGCTTACATCCGTGAGATAGTGGATCCAAAAGTTATTCTGATGGTAAAAGACAAAAGAATAGAAGAGAAAGAGAAAGAAAAGTGTAAAGAGAAAAAAGAAGCAACGGACAAAGAAAATATGGTCAATGCAACGAAATTGAAAGAAAGTATCACAGAAAAGCTCGACAAGCGTGACAGCGTGAACAATAGTCATGATGTGTTCCGCAAACAGTTTGCCCAGCATGCACCAAGTTCCAGCCCGGCCGAACATAATCTACTGGATAATATGAAACAACAGATAAGGAGCGAAGGCACGACTAAGGAACTACCCATAGATGCAAGCGAAGATGAGGAAATCAGAATCCTTACAAGAAAAATCAACAGCGAAGGTCTTGAAGGTTTTGTGTATGAAATCGTACCCGAGAGTTACACTGATCATAACGAATCAAGCTATTACGAACGCTCGTTTTCTTCAGAAGAAGAACGCAGGTTCACCCAAAGCAAGGTGAATAGTACTACCAACTGGTCTTCCTGGCAAACAGAAGCTGGCTTCTCAGGCTGGGGCGTTAGTGTCAGTGCCAGTGCTGGACACAATACCTCAACCAGTGAGCAAGAAGGAAGAAAAACTCAAAGCACAGAGAAAACATGCATCGCAGTCGTGACCAAAACGAGCTTTCATCAAATGAAAAAGTTTAAGGTTAATGTGAAACTCAGTGAGAGAGCGATAAAAGATGCTAAAGATATTATGTATGCTCCTATGCTTAAGAAACAACAGACCATTGCCAAGTTTATCAATAACTACTGCAGTTTTGTGTATTCCGGACAGTTCACTGCAGGTGGTTGGTTCAGAACCGTGGCAACAGCAAGAAGTAATGAAGCTGTAGAGTTTGCAGCTCTAGAGAAAGAAGCCACTGAAAGAGTTGAGAAGTACTGGTCAGCTGGTTGCAGTGGGTATGGTGTAACTGCTGGAGGTGGCCGGAACTGGGGGTCAAGCAATCAAACAAGCAGCCAGCAAAGTCAACAGAATACAAAATCTTCTGTTCAAGTCCTTATTAGAAAGGAGAGTGCACCAGGCAACACTTCAAATGAGAACGATCTGGAGATGAAAATTAAAGAAGTTAAAAATTGCACTATATTTCCCGTCGTAAGCGCAAAGAAATCGCACTTCATACCAATCTATGAGATTGTTAAAAGCCAGGCTGAAGCGATCGGAGACAAGGAATTGGCAAACGTTTCTCACATATTGCGGCTGTATATGAAAGGTGAGGCAGTTGGTTCTACATTTTATTCCCACAATGCTCCCTTTATCTCGTAGTTAGGTTAATAGGTTAATAGTAGCTACTATTGGCACAGAAGCAAATTCTCAAATATATAGCGTATTAATTGGAGGTGATCGACATGAATAACGTCGAAAACAAACGTTCGACTTTCAAGCCTTCCCAAAGTTTGTTCATGTTCCAGAATAGGCTGAACAGTTTAGGTTATTTGATTACTTTAATACATTCATAGCTTTGTTGGATCTTGTGAGCAAACTGCCTCAGTCGTAAAAACCAGAAAAGAACTCCACAAAACTTTCGAGCAGTTTAACTTAAAAATTACAGCAGATGCAAATTTACCTGTATTAAACTTCTCAGATGTCACTTTCGACCTAGCAATGGAAAATACAATCCTTATAGGAAATCTATTGACAATCCATTATACACATAAACAGACATTCAAAATGCAACTACCTATACCCATAAACAAGCGCGTCTCACTTCCCTCGTCAGACGAGCAAACATTTCAGGAAACTCCACCTATATTTACCAAAATGCACTAAGACATCAATTTCAATCACAACCACGCAGAAATAGGCAACACAACATCATTTTGTTTAACCCCCCATTCAGTAAGAGTGTCAAAATCGTCATAGGACGCAATTTTCTCAATCTATATTGACAAACATTCCCACCTATTCACAAACTTAACTTGACAAAATTTTTAACAGAAACAATTATAAATATAAGGTCAGCTATACAGTTGCACATATATACATATATATGTATATATATATATATATATATATATATATATATATATATATATATATATATATATATATATATATATATATATATATATATATATATATATATATATATACATATATATGTATATATATATATACATATATATGTATATATATGTATATATATGTATATATATAGAATTTCGCTTACCTCAAAATTCCGCAACAGTCTGTTTTATCAGTAAAGAATCATCAGCTGATGATTCTTTACTGATGAAACAGACTGTTGCGGAATTTTGAGGTAAGCGAAATTCTACATTATTTTGCTCTATCTTTATATATTGAGCACTCTTTGCGTTTCGTATATACAAACCTACTCTATATACATATATACAGGGTGTATCAAAATAAACGCAATTCATCTTTTGTGCTTAATAACTTTCGAAATACTATTTCTAGTTAAACGCTTTTAGGCTTACTTCAAAGCCTGTTCTTTTCTCTTTCAAATAAACTATTATCCTTGTCTCCAATGCTAGTAATAATTGCACAGGAAAAGATTTAGTAAAACCTATCATTTTTAGTTGCTGTTTAATTATGCAAGTTTACTATGTTATTGTTTAGTCGGTTTAAATGTTAGAATTTTCTTCTTTAAACTTTAATGTTGTCGTCACTACATCTGGAAAACCACGTAAGAATAAATTAAAAGTATTTAAAAGAGACCAGGTTGTTTGAAAATCCTAAACGAATGCTAAAAATCGTCAAAACATTCTGGTGTCTGAGTCAGAGTGTCATCGAATTGCGATGTAATGTAAACAGAAATTATAGCAAGTTGATGTCAGTCAGCTTAGATGGTCCAAGCCAAATTATATCGCATTTGAAGTTTCAAACTGTGTTAAAAATAGTGGAAGAAAAGCTGTAATTATACTTATTGTTACAATCCATTTAATAAAATGCAACATTTTTTTGTTTTAATGAAAAAATCAGTTATTTTCATGAGAACGATTTGTTATTCCATCTCAATTTTTTTAATCTCCAATCGCGATAACGTAAAGTATTATTACCCGCGAACGAATGAGTCAAATTTAAGAAACAACCCACTGTTAGAAAGCTGAATGGCTACGCTTTAAAATGAATGTAAACTTTAACGTTTTCGTCTATTATTTGTTTAGCAATTTACATTTCAGTCGAGGATT